GGCTCCAGCGCCCCCCGCGACCCTGAAAAGGATAAGCGGAAGCGAATGGATGGATGGATGGAATTAAACACTTTAATTAAAATTAGCTCTGACGACTAATGCTATGCTAGGCTAATACGATGCTATGCTAAGGAACAGGAAATAACTATCCTTAAGGGATATGGAAATATGCAAACTTAGCTTGGATGCTAATGTTAGACTGATGCTAAGCTAATTGTTATAAGCTAGGCTAGGCTACAGGAAATAGGCAGATGACAACTTCCCCTTGCAGGAGGAGGATAAAGGTCATAATTTCCTAAATTGGAATTAAACAGGACTCGTTTCTGCCTGAGTGTCTGATAAAGATACGTGAGAGGACATGAAAAGTGTTCTTAAGCAGGAGAGACTGTGGGGCTCCTGATCAGGAGGTGACTTATGCACTGAGAAAAATGGAGATATCCTTTGACAATGTAGTGGTGGATGTCTCCAGTGTGTCACTGTTCAAAGATCACAGACCCTTAGTGAACTAGAGAGGAAGTTCAGTGCTTGTCACTGGAGATCTGTAGTGGGCAGTTAGACCTGAGTGGAAATGAACTGGACCTCCCCAGATTTCATATAAATGTAAATATGAGATGACCACGTCAGAGCCTCTCAGCTTCCTACAGGAGAACAAACTCATTAAAACTGAACTCACATCCATGATGTTTCCAAATTGACTTTCTTTAACAAGCAGAGATCATGAGGTTTGTAGGTAGGAATCCTCTGATTATACCGAAGAGGCTGCGAGGAAGTCCAGAGGTGTTTTAAATGAAGGCTATCAGAGACTTTGATTAGATTTGATTTTGATTCTTATAGTTTAATATTGTCCTGTTTCACCCTTTGCTTCTATAAGGCTCATCGTTCCCAAATACAGGAACAAGGTAATCACTGACTACAGCAGCATTTCACTTATGTTTATTAATATTTGCTGTCAATGGCTTTGAGTTCAACCCACACTGTTTGTATTGTTTGAACATAACACCTTTTTGTTCATATTGTGGAAGCTGTCAGGACTTTCTAAATATTTACACAAAACCTGAACACAGAATTATGTTGTTTTATTTTTATTATTTTTTATTGTTATATTAAAATATTTTTGCTATTTTATATTGTTGGAGTGTTTGTGTTTAATGTTAAAATGGTTTAACAGACTTGTAACACTCTCTTTTCTACCTTCATGTTGGAGCTAAATGAACCTGCAGACACAACTCAGGGCTGAAAGAAGTCCTCCAGCATTTTCAGGGAAAAACAGTCAGAGCAGTTTTTAATTTTTTTAACTTGTTTATGATGACTATGACTTTTTCCTTTTTTGAAGTCTGATGATCCAGTGAACACACTCTGAGCAAAGTGACTGAATGAAGCAAAGATTTTATTGAGGATTGACAGAAAAGTGCATGAAGCAGGCGATGATTTCATGTGGAAGAACAGAATATAGGAAATTTGTACAAATCAAATTCAACAAGAAAGGATCCAAGTGTTTCCACTCGGCCTCAGTCATCAGAAATATTTCCAGCATGAACACACATGAAGAATCCAAGGCACCAATCAGATGGAAGAAGATCAGATTTCAGGACTGGACTCACAAACACTGAGAGTCAAAGTTGGATTGAATATTTCTGCACTGTGTCTGAGTTCAGTGTCTCCAAATCCTCACTGATTAGAAAGACGACAACATGCTGGACTGTCACTGGATCATGTCAGTGACATGTTACTGTCCCACAACAACTTTACTGACAAACTGACAACAGGAGAACACAAAGTGACTTTGTGTTTAGTTTATGATATCAGGGAGGGAGGGAGCTGTTCTCTCACACTGTTGTACTGATTATTGAACAGCAGGGGTCGTCCTCACTGCATTTGCAGCACAGCTGGCAGCTCAGATCTGCTCTGCTGTGCATAATAACACAGTGTGAACATGGTATTAATCTAAAATCTTTCTCAGATATATTTTCTATTAACACAATATCAAAGTTATTGAAACTATGAGAAAATATTACTTTCATAAGTAAAAGGTTGCCATATTTGCATTCATCTCCTTCACAGATCCTTTAATTTCTTTTCCAAAGTGCTGTGACTTTATCCCACACATTTTGCAATTCTGCTTTGATTCCAGTTTTCACTCTGCTTCTCATCTCCTCCAGTTTCTGGACCTTCCCTGTGTCTCCTTTCTCCTTCATCTCCTCAATCAGGAAGTCCAAGTGGACAATTGCAGATGCTGAATCAGCTTTCAGAGCGATTTCCTCCAGTCTGACAACATGTTGGTAGGACTCATCCAGCCACTGCGACTTCTCTGCTGTCAGTCGGTTCATTTCCTTTTCAAGATTGTCCAACAGGCTTGACTTCTTCTCACTTTCTTTTTGATGCTCTTCATATGTGTGCTGCATTTCTTCTTTTTTCAGTGATGAATCAGCTGCTGTTTTCATTGTTTCGCTCACTTCCTTTGTAAGAGTTTTTAACTGACTCCTCTTCAACTCACATTCTGACACATTTTTTTCATATTTCTGTTTCATTTCTTCATTGGTGTTCATTACTCTCCTTGTCTTGGACACATATGTCCACTTTACTTTCACATGATTTGATGCAAGACACTTGTTGGTACAAACAGTGCAGTGGCCTCCTTTCATGACCTGACAGTGTGAAGGATACCAGGCCATGGTGCATCCAGGATAGTGACAGTTCTCCTCACAGACTGTACAGCAGACAGCTGCTCTATAAAAAACCAACAACCTCATCCCACCTTCAATGGGTTCTTTCTCTTTGTAGACTTCATCAACTTCTACAGTGAACTTTTCATTCTTCTTCATCTCTTCTTCGTGTTCCTTTATAGTTTGTTGGATCTTTAGAGCTTTTTCACTTTTCTGTTCTCCTTGGCTCTTCAGAGTTTCGTGGATTTTTTTAGCTTTTTCAATCTTTTTCTTTTCTTCTTCCTGTTTGTCTTCATACATCTTCAGAGCTTCTTGAATCTGTCTGGTTTCTTTCTGTTTCAGTTGAATATACTTGATTCTGTCTTGAAGGTTTTGGATGCAGGCTCTCAGTCTGATTCTTTCATTTAACACTTCAACTGTTGTCGTCAGTGTTTGGGAATTAGTTTTTCCTAAGAAGTCTGTCAAATGATTCATGTTTGTCTGTGTAAGTTCCCATAAACCTTTTGAAATTGTGTTTTTCTCTATTCTGTCTTTATGCTGTTGGTTATCAAACAGGAAGTGAACAGGCTGATTATTCTTATTTTTGGCATATTTAATGTTTGCAGCTTCAAGAGCTTGAAGGGCATTTTTAGGTGTTCTTCCATCTGAGTGTGTGATCAGAGCTACAATGTTATTCTGCAAGTTTTTTCCAAACAGAGACGTCACTGAATCAAAGATGTACATCAGTCGGTCACCCAGTCGATTATCACTCGCCTTTAGCACCAGACCCACTGCACTAATTTCATGGACTCCATTATCTGATCCAAACAAGTCCAATAATCTGTGACTGATGGTTTCATCAAGTTCAATCCCTCTGGTGTCTCCATATCCAGGAGTATCGATGATGGTCAGAGAGTAGGGCAGAGTTTTATCTTCAAAACCAAAGATCTCGTACACAATCACATCTGATGTCTGACTTTGCAAATAAACATTCTCGTTCTCCTCCTCATCTACAATTGTAAACCAGACATCATCCTCCCAATTCACTCCCATGCTGTAGTTGAGCAGAGCATTGATCAGAGTAGATTTCCCTGCTCCTGTTTCACCCACAAGCAAGATGGTTCTGTTTGTCTTGTATTTATTTTTTTCTCCAACAGTCATTCTTGTCAGTGTTCCAAACGTCTGTTTCTTTGGTCTCAGCTGGTAGACCGCTGGAGGCCCTGACCTGATGAGAAAACTGTTTGAGATGATGTCTTCATGTGGTGAGGAGATCAAACTGATACTGCAGAGTAAAGAACAGAATGTCTTCAGTACACATGTAAACATTATGAACATGTTCCTGTTGTTTAACATTGAAAATTGAGCTGATCCTTTCCTGCTCAGTTTTAATATTTTTTAAAAATGATTTAGATTACTATTTTCTTCTGTCTGCTCTCCCAAACCTGTTGTTCTGACACTGTTATTTTACACCTCTGAGAGAAAAGAGGATATGCAGTCAGTGACCGTGGAGACTGATTGCCCCCCAGTCAGAAGAAAGCTTCTTTTTTTTGTCAATTCTCTGGCTGAACAAAAAGTTTTTTCCTCAACCTTTGAGTTGGCATGTTAATCATTTCGGTGGGTAATCGTGTTTGCTGGCATGGATTCATACACTTTAATTTCACCATTAGTTTTTATTGTTCTCCTGTTGTTCACTATTGTTTTTATTTCATAAAGCTCCGGGAGGTGACTGTTGTTGTGATTTGGCAATATATAAATAAAATTGAATTGAATTGAATTGAATATTGTCATTATTAGAATATTGAAAATATTGTATAATATTGTAATCAATATATTGATTTTCTGGGCACTATGCAAGAAACATCTCCTGGATGCACTGGTATGCATCTTCAGAGATGTATTCTGGGGTCATCAGGTGTTTTGGGTCTGTTAACATCATACACCTTCGCCCAAGCGACCAAGCTGGTGATGATCAGGCCCCTATGTACCAGTAGCTACCCACAGATCAGCCATCTTAATCCAAAGCCACCTAGTGGCTTTCTCTGCCACTTCACTCACAGCCTGCATGGCCTTCTTCTTGGCTGCCCCAGCCACACCCAGCTGGCTGAGGACTCTGCAGAGTGATCATCCTGCAAAGCCCCTACATCCCACTTCTATGGGCTCACAGAATGTCTCCAAACGCCTTCCCCTGCACTAGTTCCCGGTGCTTAGCGCGTTTCCTCTCGTTGGCCTCCTAGATCCGCTCCTCCCAGGGCACTTTGAGTTCCAGCATGATCAGATGCTTTGAGGCCTCAGAAGTGATGATCATGTCTGGCCGGAGGGATGTTTTGGGAACTTTAGCTGTTTACCCAATCAGAGGCTGTGTTGAGGGGGCCAGTTGTTAACCATGGCGGCACCTGGGGTTTCTCTCCAGCCTTAATGAAAGAAATTGCCGTCTTTGGAGCGTGATGGTGCTTGCTGGTGCTGATTGCTGAGGCAATCTTCTCAGCAACAATCTGAGCACCTGGTCGTGACGACAGATTTAAAAATTTGGCAATCATATGACCCCCTATAAGTAAGCACTTTGGCGACAGTTGGAAGGAAAAACTCCCTTTTAACAGGAAGAAACATCTGGCAGAACCAGGCTCAGGGAGGGGAGGGGCCATCTGCTGCGACCGGTTGGGGTGAGAGAAGGAAGACAGGATAGAGACATGCTGTGGATGAGAGCCAGAGATTGATAACAAGTATGATTCAGTGCAGAGAGGTCTATTAACACATGGTGAGTGAGAAAGCTGCTGGGGGATTACCATGATGCATTGCGTATTTCTTCTTCAGTCCCCTGACACCCTACTGCGGCATAACTAAGTGAGGATTCAGGGTTAACTACAGCCAGCTTGAAGGCCTGTGGTACATAGCCAATTATTAGAGATTGGTTGATCATATTTAAGATTGAAGAATTAATTAATGGCAAGACTTCTTTGAGCAGTTATGTGGTAATGGGGTCTAAAAGACACGTTGATGGTTTGCAGGAAGTAATTATTGAAGTTAACTCAGAAAGATCAATTGGAGAAAAAGAGTCTAACTTAACATCAATGGTACTAAAAGTAGCTGTAGAGAATGTTACATCTGTGAGGTGATTATTGGTAATTTTTTCTCTAATGGTTAAAATTTTATTTGTGAAGAAGTTCATGAAGTCATTACTAGTTAACGTTAAAGGGATGGTTGGCTCAACAGAGCTCTGACTTTTTGTCAGCCTGGCTACAGTGCTGAAGAGAAACCTAGGGTTGTTCTTATTTTCTTCAATCAGTGATGAATAGTAAGATGTTCTGGCTTTGCAGAGGGCTTTCTTATAAAGCAACAAACTATTTCTCCAGGCTAAATGATGATCTCCTAAATTTGTGACATGCCATTTCCTCTCCAGCTTATGAGTTATCTCCTTTAGGCTAATTGTTTGAGAATTATATCACGTAGTCAGGTACTTCTGATTTGAGGCCTTAGTTTTCACTGGAGCTACAGTATCCAGAGTCGTACGTAGTGAGGAGGTACAAAAATTTAATCGACCTCTGTTGGAGTAGCATTCAGGTAGCTGCTCTGCTCTATGTCGGCACAGGGCATTGAAGATAATAACAGTGGGTGGATTATATTCTTAAACTTAGTTACAGCACTTTCAGAAAGACATCTACTGTTAAAAAGTCTACTCCCCAGTGCTGTGTAATCAATTATTGTAAATTTAAATGTTATTAGGAAATGATCAGACAGGAGAGGGTTTTCCGGAAACACTGTTAAATGTTCAGTTTTTATGCCATATGTTAAAAAAAGATCTAGAATGTGATTAAAACAGGGACACCATCACCCATCCTGCTCTTTCAGAGACCGACGACAGCCCCATCCAGCTGGAGCAGCATCAGGTTAGAGCCACACTGCGCAGAGTCAACACAAGGAAAGCAGCTGGTCCTGATGGTGTAGCCCGTAGAGTGCTTAAAGCATTTGCAGACCAACTAGCAGAGGTTTTCACCCCCATCTTCAACCTCTCACTGCTACAGTCTGTAGTACCATCCTGCTTCAAGTCAACCACCATTGATCCAGCGACTGAAGGTATCATCGATTACAAAATATAGTTCATTAAAACTGTATCACGCTGAGCAGAGAAACTGCTTGAATACTGAGAGTAGGATAAACCCAGGACAAACTTTCACTGATGTGTTTCAGCAGTGATATTAATTTGTGCACTGTTATCTGATAATTAAACATCTACCTATGAAACACAGAAGTAATTATAAACTACAGTCACTGTTCTCTAAGTGCTATCATTTTGACATACCGCTTTGCTGCTTTGGTTCCTTTGTCCACTCTCTTTTTCATCTCCTCCAGTTTCTGGACCTTCTCTGCGTCTCCTTTCTCCTTCATCTTCTCAATCAGGAAGTCCAAGTGGACAATAGTGGATGCTGAATTAGTTTTCAGAGCGATCTGCTCCAGTCTGACAACATGTCGGTAGGACTCATCCAGGAACTGTGAATTCTCTGCTGTCAGTCGGTTCATTTCCTTTCCAAGTAAACAAACATCCTTCTCTTTTGTTTGTGGTTCGTTCTTTTGACCTTTCCTTATTCTGGTCACATATCTCCCCTTTTCCTTCAAATGCACTGATGCAGGGCACTTTTTGGTGCATGACGTGCAGAGACCATCTTGAAAGACCTCACAGTGATTTAAGGGCACCGTGCATCCAGGATAGTGACAGTTCTCCTCACAGGCTGTACAGATGACAGCTGCTTTAAAACCCGGCCCACACGTCTCTTCTCTGATAGATTCTCTATGTTTAAAAACTTCAGCAACAAATGGAGTGACCTCTTCATTCTGCATGTTGTCGTGTTTCTCCAGAGCTTCCACAGTCTGTTTCATCTCTCTTTGTTTTACTTCAGTGAATCTGATTCTTTCTTGCAGGTTTTGGACACAGGCTGTCAGTCTGACACGTTCCTTTAACAGTTCAGATGCTGGCTTCAGAGGTGTAGTTTCTTTCAGGAAGGCTGTGAACTCTCTCATTTCTTCCTCTGAGGTTTCATAATTTTTTTTCAGGTATTTTTCTTTCTCTTCTTCAAGCTGGCAGTTATTAAACAGGAAGTGAACAGACTGATTATTCTTATTTTTGGCATATTTAATGTTTGCAGCTTCAAGTGCTTGAAGAGCATTTTTAGGTTTTCTTCCATCTGAGTGTGTGATCAGAGCTACAATGTTTTTCTCCACATCTTTTCCAAACAGAGACGTCATTGAATGAAACAAATATGTTAGTCCATCACTCAGTTGATTCACACTTGCCTTCATAACAAGTCCCACTGCATGAACTTCATGGACTTCATTATCTGATCCAAACAAGTCCAATAATCTGTGACTGATGATGTCATCATGTTCAGTCCCTCTGGTGTCTCCATATCCAGGAGTATCGATGATGGTCAGAGAGTAGGGCAGAGTTTCATCTTCAAAAGCAAAGATCTCGTACATGATCACATCTGATGTCTGACTTTTCTCCTCCTGTACGATCTGAAACCAGACTCTATCCTCCCACCTCACTCCCATGCTGTAGTTTAATAGAGCGTTGATCAAAGTAGATTTCCCTGCTCCTGTTTCACCAACAAGTAAGATGGTTCTGTTTGTCTTGTATAGATTTTGTTTTCCAACAGTTACTTTTGTCAGAGTTCCTGATTTCTCTTTCTTAGCTCTCAGCTGGTAGACAGCAGGAGATCCATCAGATTTCAGATCACTGTTGGAGATGGTGCTCTTATATTTCCTTTAGATAAAACATAGATTATGTAAATACACAATGATATAATTCATGTAACAGCAGTAAGTGTTTTCTCTTCTGTCAGAAACTTTCTGATGATTGTTCAGACTTTGGCTTTAAATGTTTGTTCTCAAACATGGAGAAAGATCTTTCATCCTTTTCCCTCATAACATCACTTAAAGTCTCAACTGAAAAAAGTCTCATGCTGCTGTTTACACAACTCATGGTTGTATGGTGGTATTTTTATTTCCCCACACATCCACTCACACAGCTACACGGTGAGGTCCACAAAGGGACTGTAATGCCCCCCTCCTACACACGCACGCACGCACACACACCTACACACACACACACACACACACACACACACACACACACAATACCCCAGACACACACAACCTAATTTAACCATCCCCTTCTGTGAAGGGACTGGTGCTATCTACCCAAATGAATGTGACTTGAGTTTGTTTTAGAACGTATATTTATCCATAACTATTGTTGTAATTCATTAATGCCTTTTTTTCTACTCTTTTAAAACTTATTCTTTTTAAACTGTATTTATTCTTTCTTTAAACTGTATTGCTTATTTGCACTGTAGAGGCTGGTGAGAAACAGTATTTCGTTTCAGGGTGGGTAACACCATACGAAAATGTCAATAAACTTCTAGTAATATGTTGTCTCATTGTGTCTATGTATGAACACTCAATGACATATATGTTACAAATATGTTGTGTCCATTTTTGTTGAATTTTTATTACTCATAATTTGTATCCCTTTTTGGTTTTTTTCTTTAAAACAGTAAGAATATACTTAGCTAGTTTTGCTATGTAAATCTGTAATTCATTTTACTTTTAGAAATGGGATTAGTCTGTCAGATTTTGGACCCTCCTATTAATTAAGGGATTAAGAGCAGGCTGGATTGGTGTGGTAAGAATGTTGTTTTTTTTTTGGGTCAAATGTCAGATGGGACAACAGAGGGGTTTAAAATTGTAAATGGCCTGTATTTGTATAGCGCTTTAATTTTTTGACCATTTTTTGAACTTGAGGAATCAGATTAAGTTAACTTTCATTTATGTTTAAGTTGTACAAGAGTCTTTCTGAACGCACTTCCGACTTGATTCCTTGAAAATATATGGCGTTTATTTGGTGGTAAAATATAAACCAAAAATCAACCCAACAATCCACCTGTTGCAACCCATGACCTTTTCTTGGACTGTTTTTCTGTTTTTGAACTTTGAAAGGTTATGACACCAATAAATGAAATCAAGAATTCTCTGACTGTAATTGTGCCAAAGATATGAATGAATTATTATTGCTATATACATAGCTATCATTTGTATGTTGCACAATGACAGCAATGGAAATAAGAAAACAGCTAGAGACTATAAAAGAATTTTAGTCAGAGGACATTCACAGATACTTAAAGTTTTAAAACAGCAGTGAGTCAGAGTCTGCAGTAATCAAAGGCTACGTTCACACTGCAAGTCTTAATGCTCAATTCCGATTTTTTAATCAAATCCGATTTTTTTGTCTGCTCGTTCACACTACAAATAAAATGCGACAGCAAACGTGCTCTAGTGTGAAGTGTTTGACTGATGGCCCCTTAATATAAAGACTTCGGACTTCACGTTTCCCAATTTTTGCTTTATTTTGTTATTTACATAATAATGTAGATAACCTAATAATTTTCCTTATTCCTGTTTTAGAGAGGAGCGGAGCTTCCAAGGATAGTTGCAGATTTCTGTCAGAATCTGCAAATTATGCAGTACAAATAACATGTTAACGTTTAACATGTTAACCACTTTCTCCAACGTTGTCTTCCCAGCAGTTTCACCGGATGGCCAGGAAGCGTTCGCAATGTCTTCTCGGGCGCTTCTCTGGTGCTGATAATTGTCTTGTGTCGGTGACATAAAAGACGGATTTAATGCGACATGACCGTTCAAACAGCAGTCGCTTTCTAAAACATTGGATATGTATCGGATTCAGTACCACATACGAAAGAGACCCAGATCGGATTTGAAAATATCGGATTTGCGCCATTCACACTGCCATACCATGATCGGATATGGGTCGCATAGGGTCAAAAAAATCGTATTTGATGCGCTTTCGCCTGCAGTGTGAACGTAGCCAAAGTGATAGATTTTGTGTAGATGTCCAAAGAGTTTAAATAGGGTTTGGTGGAGTTGAGCTGGACATAAGTGGGAACTGATAAACATTTGCTTTGTCCTTTTTGGAAATGGTCAATTTTTGGTGTTTTTTTTCTTTGTGAATAGGCTTTTTATTGATTCTGTGAATTTTTTTGGTTTATATCATAACAATTGTTACTTATGTGTTCAAAACAAATATTTGAATCACTGGTTGATTGCTTGTTTGATAGTCCTAAACTTTTCTGGTGCTGAGCCCATATGTGGTGTTATTAAATAGCCACATGAAAAACAGAAAGAGCATCCTTTTTTGGCTAAAAAAAATGAAAAAAAACAGGTTTTCCCATTTTGTTTAGAGTATATACCTCATGATTAGTTAACTTGTTTTAACAGTACTCACTGTGTTGCCATAATGAGCTGTGAGGATCAAACAGATGTGATGATACCTGGAAAAAACATATGAGATAAAAGAAATTTAAGTAGTCATCCTAGAAAAATAATTAGATTCAGTTCTGGTTTATCAATATAGCACCAAATCATCGACTGTGTTTATACTGTAAAGACCCTACTGTCATACGCTGTGTGCAGGAGGCAGGATATTGGACCCAAAATGCAGACTCACCTAAAGAACTTAAAACTCAGCATTCTTTCTGATTGAATATAAACTTTATTGTTGATTTTGCTGCAAGATGACCATAGAAATATTTATGTGTCAATTTTATTTAGATAACACATTTCATAACTTGTAAAATCAATGTACTTAACATAGAAGATAAAAACATAAAAACCTGTGTAGCTCTACAACAATTTCATGCAATAAGAACAAAAATAACTTTACAAAGACCAAAAACATTCCTTTGAGAGCTTTGTGAAGTAATAGCAAATTTCTGAATACCTCTAAGGACTTAATGAGCTGAAGTTGTCCTATTGATTATTTGGAGAGTGTTACAATAATACAATATGCTAATGTAATATCCCCAGGTCAGTTTGAGTTATGAAATTTCTTTTCAACATTTTTAAGTGATTAAAAATATGTTCTTGTAACATTATTGATGTGATTGCTGAAATTAGGATCCATATCCAAAATGATGCCAAGTTTGTTAATGGTTTAGGGCAGGGGTCCCTGCAGGTTTTAGATCTCACCCTGTGTCAACACACCTGAATCACATGATTATCTCATTACCAGGCCTCTGGAGAACTTCAAGACATGTTGAGAAGGTAATTTATCCATTTAAATCAGCTGTGATGGATCAAGGACAAATCGAAAACCTGCAGGGACACCGGCCCTCGTGGACTGAGATTGGGGACCCCTGGTTTAGGGCATTGGCCTTGAAGATGTCAAGGCTACTGTATAGCTGGGGTATAGAGTATGTTTGGAGAGTGTGTGTCATGTGAAGGCTCTGTGCAGGCAGGAATGGTGGACCCAAAGTGCAGACTCACGCATGTGAAATAGTGCAGTCAAAACAGCTTTATTGCTGAAACATAAAATAACTAAACTGAAAATATCAAAAAACTGAACTGGCAGGCAGGAAGACAGAACACACAGCATAGTAGACGGTAGATCACAACACAGACAGAGGAAAACACAGGGCTTAAGTACACAGAGTGAGCAATCAGGGAATGGGAGACAGGAGGGAAACACAGCTGGGACAAATCAGGGCTAACGAGACAAGGCAAGCAAAACTAGACACATTAACATAAGACATGGACCTTCACGGTAAAACAGGAAACATAACACAGAGATGCGGACTTGACATGGGGATACAGCAGACAGGGGAGACAGCAACTATGGATCACAGACAGAAAACCAGAGCACTAAAATTCTAACAAAAACCACACAGAGAACCTAAACTTAGAATAATCCAGTAACCCATAAGACAAAGAAAGCTAGAACATAATGAAATAAACAAAATCAAAGAACCAAAAAAGTAAAACACTGGGTCGACGACCCAGGCACCCTAACAGTGTGAGTGTGTGTACGGTGTTCATTCCTGTTTGTATATGTGTGTATGAGGGTGGGAATGCATGTTTGTGCGGAAGTGAGAGGCTTGTGAAATGGGACGGTCTGGCCTTCGTCGCGCTGCTCAGGTTGCCAAGCAACCATGATACTAACCGCAAGAAACATTTCATACAGCATTGTTTGACAGAAATTAAGGAGAAAAAATGTTTTTTTGTTCGTCCATTTTCTTTATGACATCACTTTGCTGAGTATCTGAGGCTGAGACCACAGGACTGTAAAAACATGATTGTTGGGCTTAATTTCTGTACTGAATAGAGATGGCACGATACCACTTTTTATATGTCCGATACCGATATCATAAATTTGGATATCTGCCGATACCGATATGAATCCAATATAGTGTGTTTTTTAATCAATAAAACAGTTTTTTTTAATATATTGGTGCATTTTGTATAAGTTCATACTCAAGTTTAAATAAACAACAACACTAAAGCTATTCTGTTATACGTGTATCTAAAAATACACTGCACCCAAAATATTTCATAGTTCAGCAATACTGAACTAATAGGGTTGCAAACTTCCAGCAAAAAAAAATAGGGAACCACCCCCCCCCACCCTCCACCTCATGATGCTTAATTGACGTAATCAACTTTTATTTGGTGCAGTGTGAAAAAAAATGCACAGAATTTAATTATTTTTCAAGAATCATCATCATCATCATCATCAACTTTATTTATAAAGCACT